AAAAGCCGCTGAGAGGTCCAAAAGAACTAGGACAGAGGAATAACCCCTGTCCCGGGCCCTCCAGAGATCATTCACCAACGTGACCAATGCCGTTTCCGTGCTGTATCCCGGCCTGAAGCCCGACTGGAGAGGGTCCAGATAGACTGTTTCCTCCAGGTGCTGAGGAAATTGCTGTGCAACCACACTCTCAACAACCTTCTACACAAAGCGAAGGTTGGAGACTGGGCGATAGTTAGCCAATACATCTGGATCCAGGGAAGGCTTCTTAAGGAGGGGCCTCACCACCGCCTCCTTTAGGACCGCGGGGAAGGCACCCTCCCGTAAAGAAGCATTTATAATTCCCTGGAGCCAGGCTTGTGTACCCTCCCGAGCCGCCAGTACCAGCCAGGAGGGACACGGATCCAATAAACATGTGGTTGCATTCAGCCTCCCCAGGATCCTGTCCACGTCCTCGGGAGCCACAGAGTCAAACTCCTCCCATATAATAGTCTCAAGACCTTATATAGTAATGTAATAACTAAATATATTTATTTCAAAGTAAGTTCCAATAAAAAACTAGTGTGATTTACTTTCAGCAAATATACCTATAGTAGAGCTGTAAGGATGAATTCTTACATTATAGGTTGGATCCAGATGCAAATTATATTTAAATAAGTCCTGCTTAATTTAATGAACATAAACTTTTATTACTACCTCACACCCTAACATTTAAGTTCACCCAACCTACATCAGGATGTAAGCTTGTTATATTTCAGTGTACACATCCAAGGCTTTGACTCTGGATGTAAACATAATACAGGTAGCCTCATTTAGTGACTGCCTCATTTAGCATCACAGTTACAGTGTGATAACTTTATGGCTATCTAGCATTTATGACCTTTGCAAAGCAAAGGAAAGCTGGTCATAACCACAGTCACAGTTTCAATAGCAACTCTTTGCTTAATGACCAGGTTGCTGGTCATTACTAAAGAATGACTGGTGGTTACTAAAGAATGACTACCTGTACTGTACACAAATTGTATTGAATATATGTGCAGTTTCCCTAAGAGCCAAAACTAGAATGCCTTCAGTAACCAACTTTGCTTATGGCTAGTTTGCAGAAAGATCTTAAGCTACCAACTGGGAGAACTGAAGGAAGATCCAGAAAATTAAACATACATTCTGTTTGGAATATTAAGTGTAAGGTTGCATTCATCTATATCAACGGTCCCAACTTTCTGGCTTGGCGGCCTGGTGGAGGGGAGAGGATAGTTCCCTGCGAGTGGTAGGTCGGCATGCAGAAGTGTGCGCAGCTCCATTCGTGCAAGCCACTTGTGTGAAGGGAACTTCATGGGCAAGCACAAGGGACCGCCGCTCATGTGGCCCAGTTCCACAGTGGGCCACGGCCTGGGGGTTGGGGACCCCTGATCTACATGCACCGAATGCGGTGAAGATTACACTGTAAAATCACTTAAATGGCAATCCTGTAAATATTGTTTGGGAGTTAGAATGGGAAACAATATCTGAGAAAGGCAGGATGGCTGGATTAAGTACACTGCCAATCATGACATATTTTTGTCCTAAAGAGCTGAATGTGCTTGGTGAATTGGCCCTTTATTGCAATGAATCCAAAATTATTATTTATTTATTTATTTATTTATTTAGACTTATATGCCGCCCTTCTCCCTACAGGACTCAGGGCGGCTCACAGCATATTAAAACAACACAAACATTGTCCCCAATAAAAGCCAATTAAAAACAAATATTTAACGCTGTGTTAATTAAAATTCTGATTAAAATTGTCCCTATTTAAAATTCTCCCTAGGCCAGA